CATCGTCATCATCGTGTCGGCATCATCACCATCATCCCCTACATCATCGTCGTCAGCACCATCCCCTACATCATCGTTGTTCACTACATCATCGTCACCATCGTCATGATGCCCTGCATCCTCGTCGTCATCGTGAGCATACGATCACGACCACCCAGCGGAAGGAAAAGCCCGTGAGTATCCTTAAGGTTATCGGCGCTGGGTCCGGGCAACTAAACACGTGTATCCCTAGTAGTAGTAGTCGTGGTAGTAGTCGTGGTAGCAGCTGTAGTCGTAGTAGTAGTAGTAGTAGTAGTAGTAGTAGTAGTAGTAGTAGTACTAGTAGTAGTAGTAGTAGTAGTAGTAGTAGTAGTAGAAGTAGAAGTAGTAGTAGTAGTAGTAGTAGTAGTCGTCGTAGTAAAAGTCGTACCACTACTACGACTACGACTACGAGTACGACTACTACTACTACTACTACTACTACTACTACTACTAGTTGCGGTAGTACTCGTAGTTGCCCTGATAGACGTAGCATCAGTTTCTGTAGTCGTAGTACTAGTAGTAGTACTAGTAGTCGTAGTAGTAGTAGTAGTAGTGGTGGTAGTAGTAGTAGTAGTATTACTAATAATAGTAGTAGCCGTAGTAGTAGTAAGAGGAGCCTTAGTCGTAGTCGTAGTCGTAGCAATAGTAGTAGTAGTAGTAGTAGTAGTAGCAATAGTAATAGTAGTAGTAGTGGTCGAAACAGTCATACATAATAGTAATATGAAAACTAGTCGTCGTACTAGTCGTACTACTCGTCTAGTCATAGTCGTAGTCGTAGTCGTAATAATAATAGTCGTAGTGGTAGCAGTGGTAGTAGTAGTAGTAGTAGTAGTAGTAGTAGTAATAGTAGTGGTAGTAGTAGTAGTAGTCGTAGTAGTAGTAGTAGTCGTAGTCGTAGTAGTAGTAGTAGTAGTAGTAGTAGTAGTAGTAGTAGTAGTAGTAGTAGTGGTAGTGGTAGTGGTAGTGGTAGTGGTAGTGGTAGTGGTAGTAGTGGTAGTGTAGTAGTAGTAGCAGTAGTAGTAGTAGTAGTGGTAGTAGTAGTAGTAGTGGTAGTAGTAGTGTAGTCGTAGCACTAGAAGTAGTAGTAGTAGTAGTAGTAGTAGTAGTAGTAGTAGTAGTAGTAGTAGTAGTGGTAGTAGTTGTAGTAGTTAGTAGTAGTAGTAGTAGTAGTAGTAGTAGTAGTTAGTAGTACAAGTAGTAGTAGTAGTAGTAGTAGTAGCAGCAGCAGCAGCAGCAGCAGCAGCAGCAGTAGTAGTAGTAGTAGTAGTAGTAGTAGTAGTAGTAGTAGTAGTAGTAGTGGTAGTGGTAGTAGTAGTAGTAGTAGTAGTAGTAGTAGTCGTAGTAGTAGTAGTAGTAGTAGTAGTAGCAGTCTCAGTAGTGGTAATAGTAGTAGTAGAAGTAGTAGTAGTAGTCGTCGTAGTAACAAAAACACTAGAAGTAGTAGTCGTCGTAGAAGTAGTAGTCGTATTAATCGTAGTAGTAATTGTAGTATATCGCAGTAGTAGTGATAGTAGTAGTAGTAGTAGTAGTAGTAGTAGTAGTAGCAGTAGTAGTAGTAATAGCAGCAGCAGCAGTAGTAGTAGTAGCAGTAGTAGTAGTAGTAGTGGAAGTAGTAGAAGTAGTAGTGATGATGGTGGCAGAGACAAAACAGTAGACATGGCTCGCCACACCAGCTGTGTCTGCTGCTGCAGCAGCAGCAATTTGTTTGCATATCGTGGAAGGCCTCTCGGGGGCCTCTTGGAGACAATTTTGGAGGCCGTTTGAGGACTTCTTTTTGGACCTCTTGGGGGCCTCATGGGGCCTCTCGGGGGCCTCTTGGCTCTGTTGGGAGCCTCTTGAAGCCTCCAGGGAGCCTGTTGGGGCGGAAGGCTCGAATTGTCGGTTCGTGTTCCCCCTCTTGGGGCAATATTGGGGCCCTCTTGGGCGACTTTGGGTGCCTCCTGGGCCGTTTTGGTGCCCTCTTGGGCCGTCTTGGGGCGGTCTTGGGATCCTCTGAGCAATCTTGGAGCGTCGGAAGCTCATAATGCGAGAACGCGAAAAACACACCGCTCTTTGGGCCCCCTTGGGGGTCCTCTTGGAGCGCTCTTGGGGCTTCTGTGGGGCAAGTTGGGCCGTCTTGGGGCCGTCGTGGGCGTCTTGGAACGCGCTTGGGCTGTCTTGGAGGCCTCTTGGCCCCTACTGGGCGCTTTCTGGCCCACTTGGCCTCTCCGGGCCGCCTCTGGGAAGCGAACGGGGAGGGTATCAAACGGTGTTCCCAGATGGTCGCGAACTGGGCCCCCCCAGGGGGGGTCGATCTATTCGTTTTACGATACATATATATATATATATATATACATATATACATATATACAATATATATATATAGAGAGAGAGATGTGTACACATGTCTATATACACATATACACACACTTACATGTATGTGTATGTATCTGTAAATATACGATCTCCACCTAAAAATCGGGATCAGGCCGCTGGGATAAATATCGGAATCACATCGTTAGATGCTCATTCTGGGAACCTCCCTGGAGCCACTCGCTCCACTCGTCCGACGAAGCTGCGTCGAACGTCCGTCGGTGTGAGTAGAACTTGAGTCGAATCTAAGTCGACCTTGAGTCGAACCTGAGTCGACCTTGAGTCGAACCTGAGTCGAAACTGAGTCGAACAGATCTATCAGGTGGGCCCGAAAATGGTCCCTAAGGAAGGTCCTGCTATGTGAGCCCCAGGAGTCTGAGCGACCAATGATGTGTAAGTTCGTGCCCAGGTCACCAGGACATCGGAATCACATCTGATCGGACCGGCCAGCATGGCTATCGAGTCGGATCGGTCGGATCGACATGGGCCCCGCGATCAAAGGGGCCCAAGGACACACACACACACACAAAGAACTGGACACAAAGCCCCAGATTCTCAATATTTCCGCATCTTTTCTGGCGGTTCGTCTTCCCCCAAGATGCCCCATAATTTCTGGG